ACTCAGTGCTCTACAGTTTAAACGTTCACTCGCGAGATTAACGTTTTTGTGTTAAAATCCCGTGTGCGGGATCGTTAATGATCACTGATCAAGAAACCCATACTAGGACGAAATGGCCGTCCAATGTTTCCATTTTTTTAAATGATGGTCTAACATTGATCGATTTATGATCTCAACCCCATACTGATTTTATCTGTATGTTACAAAATTTAAAAAATGACAAACAAATACATACAAACAGTTAGGTGGAAGTGGTAAAAGTATTCAAGATATTTAAAATAAAACTACAAAACATATACCAATCTATTCTTTCAGCTAATTATGATTCACCTTTATTATTTGGAGGGGAATATTTTCTATTTTATTTTCAGTATTGTATACTACTATTGTAAATACTACTTGTAAATTATATATTAGTAACTGTATTCTCATTATTATCATGTTTATTCTTTTTGTTTTACAGTGTTTATTTATATATCTACTGTTATTGTTATTGACATTATTGATAATCCTGACCAATGAATGAATTCATCATGAAGTATAGATTTGTCTGTCAATCAGGATACGATTTAATTTTTAATTTCCTAATTAGTCAATTATTCTTATTTAATTGTTTATAGTTTATGGTTTATTATTATTACTATACTAATAATAACATTATAAGTAATAATAATAATAATAATAATAATAATAATAATAATGGTAATACGTAGTATTAATATGATTCTCAACAGTTGTTACTAAAGCGATTATAGATAAATTATTTTGTCATTGCTAGGGATTTGAATAAATATTGATAAAGTAGTTTGTTAAAATGATTATTTATAGGACTCCTTAGCCCGCGAAACCAGTAGGTACTGGGGTTCGAATCCCGCGGGGTGCGGGATCGTGGATGCGCACAGCTGAGGATTACCATACTAGGATGAAACGGCTGTCGAGTGCTTCCAGGTTTTCCATGGTGGTCTAGCTTCATTTGACGCATGATTTCAACCTGTGAAATTTCTAAAAAAAATCTCCACAAAACCCATTCTGATTATTTATATGTTAAAATAGATAATCAATAATTACTACTGAAAAATATACAAGTAGTTTAGCAACAATAATGATATGAATAATAAGTGATTTGTAAGATTTGTTAGTTATTGTATGTTGTTTTACATCAACAATTAATAGCAGATGAAGAAATGTTTGGAAATTTGAAGTCAGCGTAGAACTACTTCATAATGATTTGATATTCTCAACGGTTTCCATGTAGGGATTGAAACCATAATCTATGTATAGATAGTAATAATAATAATAATAATAATAATAATGATAATAATAATAAAATCAACTAATGTTTCATTTCTCTTTTGGGATTGTTGAACAATACCTGTTCGTGGTTAAAACTGTAATGATTTGTTTTCAGATCGATAATCTGAAAATAAACACTCTCTTTGTTCAGTCTGAATATTATGGATTTGAGAAAGAGAACAAAATTTTGTCAACATGAAAAAAGAAATCTACATTGGATTTAACAATTAAGATTTTTTGTAAAGTGAAATAACGTGTTGTATACAAAGTCCTAGAGTAAATATCAACTCTGCAATGCAGGTACATTCAGCTGACAAGTCCCAAGTAGGAAGAACCGCTAGTCCTGGATTCCACTTCTAGCTACCATCTATCTTTACATATGAGTCAATCCAATATTGGACAAATCCACATAGGATGTATAAATGGTTGCAGTCCTAAACATCAGTGGGAAGATTCAAACAAACAACATAAAAAACAAAGCAGCAGGTTAACTTTTATCGAAATTTATCATTATGAATAGAGAAGACTACTTACTGCTTAGTGATCAGTAAATTGTATGGATTTAAGGTTTATTTTACATTGTCACATGCTCACTAGTGGATAGCTTCAGGTTGCGATTCCTGGAGTTCTAATGTGCAGCTGTGAACAATAGAGTTCAGCCACGTTCGGTTTAAGATGGTTATCCACAGAAAACAATAAAAGAATAGTATGTAGTATCATAAAATTGATTAAACTTAGACGCATAGACTTTCGGATGCCGTCTCGGCGGTCTAGAGATTAAATGTTCGTACACAAGATCGACGTTTCTGTGTTCCATCTTATGTGGAATACTTTTGAGTCTCCAATTGTAGTCTAGCTAAGAACAGTTTGTATATTCCTTCAAAAAAATAAAATAAAATTGCTAAAGTAGTCACTTGGTACAAAACATTGAAACACGTAGATTTAGAATAAAATAGTTTAATGCCAACTTTACCTATCTGAAATATGGAAAATTATGTCCAATTTAAATATTTGTAACTGTAACCTGAAACGAATACAAATAGTTGTTAATTAAGTTAAAATTGAGAAATTTAAAGTTTTATAAAAAAGCCTTTCCAAATGATTGATGTGAATATGGTTTGTAATACTTGTGAATAGTTTTTTTGTACAGTAATTATCTTTTAAGTTGAATGATTCATTGAAATTCTGAAAAATTTCATCAGTGCATATGATTAATGCTGAATTGAACTTTGTCCAGTAAGACAATTATAGATTCATCGTTAAGCAATGTAGTGTAAAGGACGTGACATTATGAAATAATTGATAATGTTTAATAATAGTAATAATAATAATAATAATAATAAGGTTGAAGAAGCTACTGAAATCAGCAGAGGTATGAACCATTAGAGGAAGAGAACATAATGTTTTATACACACATCAACAAACAAATAAACACAAATAGTCACTCATATATCTCAAGGTTAAACTCTAGAAAATACAAAAATGGAATTACAGTGAAAAATTCACTATTCAATTATATCTCCCTATTATTGTTATTATTATTATTATTATTAAAAGTATTAGTAGCTTGAAACACAGACATTTCACTGAAACGAATAACATTAAACTAGGATACATCATGATGGTCATGAGAAAATTGAACATATTTTTTTAAGAGCAAAAAGGAAAACAAAGTAAGAGTCATGACATACCCTTTAATAAACATATAGAACAAAGCACATCTCATTGAAGCTATGTTGACATATATTCACAATTTATATATATATATATATATATATATATATATATATGTCCGTTTGATGTCATTGTTGTTGAATTGTGGCTTTTCGACATCATATCAGACCTGTGATGTTCTTGCTTGTTTGTTATTCTTGCTTCTTTTTTCTCCAATTTGATCTATGATGTATGTATGTATGTATGCCTGTTTGTTTGACTATGAATATTGCTTAAAAGAGTATATAAATACTCCCTTTGTTCTTCATCTTTTATCGTTATCATTTTTATTGTTGTTGTGTGTATTTTCTCTCATTTTTTTGGGGGGGGGGTGAAATTCTGTGTGTTTTCAACTTGTGCTCCTGTCTTTCCACTATTGAGTACTTTGTTATATTTCATCATACTCATCTTTTCTTGTTCAACTTATCTCTCAAAATAAACAAGAAACAGATATATATATATATATATCTATACAGAAACACACAAGTACCAAATACATTCTGGGAAATGAACCGTGATATAGATGAACAGACAGATAGACAGATAGACAGACAGACAGATATATGCATTATCATACATAGGACAAATATGATTTACAGACATACTTTTATTAGACATATAGATTTACTTATTCAATTTCCTAAAAATAAATATCAGAATTAAAAATGAAATGGTTTTTATATGTATTGAAATTTATTTATCATTTACATTATTATAAAAAAAGATAAATAATCATAACAATATGGAATACCATTTCTTTCATATGAATAATTGGTATTATGATAGAATTTTTATTTAACCAGATGGAAACTATTATCATTATCCATTGCTTATCTCATTCATAATAAACAGAATTCTTGTTATATTCATTGATCATCTATGAAATTGGATTATTAAAAGAGAAGAAAAGACTGGAATAGTTCAGTACAAAAAATATTTAATCAGTCAACTCTAATTCTTTTAATATTAGTGAGTGAAATATAAAAAGGAGAAAAAGAAAGAAAGAAAGAAAAAGAAGATAATTCCATTTGATTATTTTCTTATTATCATAGAAACTGTTCATTTTATTATCCCTTTTTTATATGTGATAAAGAAATTGTAACAGATATAACTGTTAATACAAGAAAGGAATTGTGTTTAGACAATATTGGAACGTTCACTATTACTATTATTATTATTATTATTATTACTATTTTATCGAATCATTTTATGTACTGTGATCTCCTATTTATAAATATCTATTATCATATCCTATGTATCCAATGGTTATCAATTTAGTTTATTCAAATTTATTGATTTCATTGATTGATTGGAATTATAAACGACAAATCAATTTAAATGAATGCAATATTACATAATCGTCATCATTACTTTGATATTATACATAGCAACATAATCTATTATCATTAACATTAATTTCTATATTTTTATTAGTATTATATGAATAGGCGAATTCTTTTTGTTGTTGACAATTATGATCTCTTAATTGATTTTAATGGATAATTATTGTTTATAAGTAGTATATGATGCATTTATTCATTTCCGATTCATACAAATTCAATTTTTCAAATGTGTATTCATAAGAAATTTCCATATAAATAGTTCCTTTTCCCACAAATTAAAGAACATTCATTTGTATGAAAAAAAGGTTTTCATGTTAAATAGATCAATGTTATCTTGGTATAAACCATTTAATCATCAAATATTACTTATATTTCAAAAGATTACATAGAAGAAACAAGCAAACAACAAACAAACAAAACATTATTACATAATAAATAATAGCAGAAATCCGGCTCCCTCTAATACAAATAATAATAATAATAATAATAAAGTGATTTTACATCATAATATTTGCATTAAATTAAATGATCATTTTATTCAAACGGACAATATTTGTGATATTATCATTATTCATTGTTAATATCTATGCAAATTGTTACAATTAGATCAATATAGGTTTACTGAATTGATCGGATTTCCTACTACATTCTAAATAATAATCATAAGAGGAAGAAGAAGACGAAGAAGGAGAATAACAAAAAAGAAAACATAATCAAAAAAGGGACCCAACACTTTACTAAACATACGGATTCTTTATCCTAAGTGTTTACTGTCTTATTATATTATATGATTTATACAGTTAGTTTTCTTTGGATTATATCATATTAAAGAGAATAATACAATAGAAATATAATATTAATATACAAGAATTATATACATAATAATTATCAATGGCACGTGGAGCTGGTGGTTTATTAGATGGTGGATTTGTATTTAAATTAGGCAGATTATTTAAAACTCCATATGGTGGAGAAGGTGTCGATTTTATTGATCAATTAAATTATCAATTTACTGGTGGACTTATGGTTATATTTATAGCAATTATCAGTTTTCGACAATATGTTGGTAAGTGATTTTATTCCCCCTTATTTTTTGTATTTCTTTGATAAATATATTACAATTATGATGATATTGATGGATACATGTTTCCATTTTTATATTCATTCCAAAAATCAGTTTCTTTTTCGGTAATATGAATGTCTCTTTTTTTCAGCGGGTGGGGAGAGGGGAATGAAACAGTCTATAGTTTTTAAATACAAATATAATATGATATGAAAATAGAATACAAAATTTTTTTTTGTAAATTTAATTACTCGTTTAAAGATCCTCATCATATTAAAAGACTTATATTTGAACGAAGAATATTCTTTTCGATAAATTCTCCGGTTTCTTTATTCGGATGACTACTGACAAGGTTTGACCTTATAAATAATTGAAAAAAGATTGGTTTATACTGACACTATGATCAGTTTGTATCAAATGGGTCAATATTGATCTGTTCACTTTCTTCATCAAACCTTTGTTTAACGACGTTGGGAAGTGTTCACGAACACGAAAATGTAAATTCATGGATCTTCAACCAATATAACTCGCTCCACAGGAGCAGGCAAACTGATAAAAACATTTGACTGAATTGTAATAGCAGTATTACTTCTCTCACCCTATTTGACTCATATTTATTCTGATCATGGATCTTGAACTTCACTTAACATATATCCAGATTCAAGTTAACATTCTATCTGAGTCATATTAACATTAACAATTTTATTGTAGTTTGTTTATCACAATCCTGAGTTCATATACTTTAAACGATGTATTTTGCCCTAAACCTGGTTATTCTTCGGATTATTAATTTAGATCAAGAATTGTAGAACCTGAAGAGAATTTATCGAAAAGAATATTCTTCGTTCAAATTTAGTTACTACTGCCATATGCTAATTCATTCACTTTCCTATTTTCTTTTTATTCTTGATAACGTTTAAAGAAACTTGTTTCTTTTTTTACACTTTTAATGAAACTTACATTCAGTAAAATATCGAGATAATTTTATTTGGTATTTATTTTTTATCTCAAACAAGCATCAAGCTTCAATTTTCATAAAATGATCACTATTTGCTAACAGTTAATCCCTATTTAAACATTAAAAATTAAAAACACGATGTTCAGCAAAGGGATCTCTTTTCAACGAATTTATTAACAAGCTGTACACTTACTTACTTACTTACGCCTGTTACTCCCAATGGAGCATAGGCCGCTGACCAGCATTCTCCAACCCACTCTGTCCTGGGCCTTCTTTTCTAGTTCCATCCAATTCTTGTTCATTTTTCTCATGTCTATCTCCAGTTCTCGGCGTAATGTGTTCTTTGGTCTTCCTCTTTTCCTTTGACCTTCAGGATTCCATGTGAGGGCTTGTCTTGTGACGCAGTTCGGTGCTTTCCTCAATGTGTGTCCTATCCACTTCCAGCGCTTCTTCCTGATTTCTTCCTCCACTGGGATCTGGTTTGTTCTCTCCCACAGTGCGCTGTTGCTAATAGTGTCCGGCCAATGGATTTGAAGTATTTTGCGTAGACAACTGTTAATAAACACCTGTATTTTCTGGATGATGGCTTTTGTAGTTCTCCAGGTTTCTGCCCCATACAGTAGAACTGTCTTGACATTTGTATTGAAAAATTCTACGGATCCGCATTTTGATTTTACGGTTGTTTATATGACTCGTTTAAATCTATCTAGATTTCTTCGAATCCAACTCTTAAAAATAGCCGAAGCTCTTAACATCCATGAGCTCAAGCCAAAACTATGCGTACAAAAAAGTGTGTCTTATCGCTATCGTCACTTTAACCTTAATTAATATTACTATTATTACTGCATTCCCCTTGTATTCTCATTATTTTATCCATAAATACTCATCATATCTCCTTGTTTATTTCTACACCCTTATGACCTTTAATTATTGTAACAAAAACATCTTAATCATCTTATTATATCCACTAAATCGAATGTTATTTTTCGTATTACGTACTCTAGTATAATAATCATTCTATTACATTATCTTGGTTATTCCTATTCACATTTCCTCATGAAATTAGTACTTTAACAAATAAAAATATTGTCATATATATATACGATTGTACAGCTTGATAATAAATTCGTTGAAAAGAGATCCCTTCGCTGAACTTCATGTTTTTAAACTTACTATTTATGATTTTGACTGAAAGTACTGTCTTAATGATTGATAAATAGTAGCGATTGTACTGATAATAATAATAATAATAATTATTATTATTATTCTATATTGACTTTAGTCAGTAATAAAAGAAAGTTGGTTAGGTATACTTTAATTCACTTTAAATATGTTTTTTTTTCTTTTCTTTTTACAAAAGAATAAACATATTTTATACATTTAATTGACATTTACTTACAATAAACCTATATAATTCATAATAAATAACTCTAATCGATTACTATCAATCACTTGGAAACAGGATGTAATCTTCCTTTTAAGTAAAATATAAACAGAGACTAAGTGAACGAGTAAATGAATGAATAAGTGAGTGAGTGAATGAATGAATGAATGAATGAATAAACTGAATATAAATTAGTATACACGCAAAACATTGGGAAAAAAAATGATTGGGAATATAGATGAGTTTTATCAGTATTATTATTATTACTATATTCTTTTTTTCTATCGAAAAATAAACAAATTTTCTTTTCTTCATGAAGGATATTTCTGGAACAAAAAAAACTAAAAAAAATGTTTCTAAAATACTTTAAATTAAATGGATTGAAAAAAAAAGAATCAGAATTCGTTTTTTGCGTGGGGGGGAAGGAGGGAAATAAATTAAAACCCTGAGGAATGAACATCATCCATTCATTGGTATATAAATATATAGTATGATTAATACCTTGGTTTATGTATTTATTCAATATTCTACAATACATGACATATAGATATATATCATATATTGTATTAGTGATTATAATAATAAAATTCTAATATAAAGTATTAAATAAATTAATGGACATATACCGACAAAAGAATTGAACATATATCCTGAATTATTATTATTATTACCAATACTAATACTATCTATTTTGTTAAGAGATGGTTACAAAATTAATCTGAATTTTGGATTTATTATGGAAAGATAATATTTTGTCTTCCCCCCCTCTCTAGATACATATATACATATATTGATTTTTTGTTTATCGAATTAAACATAGTGTGATAATTTAAAGTGAGTTGTTATGTAGATAATTGAACAAGTGTTTATTTGTTTGTTTATTGTTCCAATTACATTCGAGCTGTCCATTTACCATTTTTACTTAAAGTAGTAACAAGGACAATAAAAATTATTGACTGAAGTTTTTTTTGAAGGGGGGGGGAGTTCAAACAGTTTACTTAACTTTTTTTTTTAAAATCATAGTTTCATTGGTATGATTAGATGAGTTGTTGAGTTCAATAACTTTTGATAACACAAATTAATTCTAAAATTGATTAGTTGTGGCTTAAATACTTCAATGGTAACATTTAAGTTATGAAGCTGAATTACATTGATTGATATCTTACACAAGCATCAGTTCAATTAAAATTATGTGGTTGCATTGATGTAATTAGTTTAAATGAGCATGAAACCTAATCTTAGGGATTGATGTTAGTCATTTTCAATCATCTAATTTATATAATATAAATTTACAAATATTTCGTCACATATTTATCTATCTAGTAAAAGTTACATAATTATTATGAATATGAGTTAATAAATGTGGTGAGTATAGAGGCAAAAGACAGTCACTGAGATTGTGGATTGTTTGATCAGTTTCATCTCCCAATTAACTGATAGTTAAAACAATCCGAAATTCATCATCTCTTATAGAAATTAACTGTTTTGAATAGTTTAAATGACATATTTAAACAACTTTTTACACGTGGAACTTCTGGTATAGCATTCTATACATAGATTTACATACAGTTGTTGTCATAGTGACCAATATATATATATATATATATATATAATAACGTTTTACTTTCATTGTATCAATAAGTTGGTTAACCAAAAAGAATCATGTTCAACTTATGGTTGACTTGTTTAAACGTAAAGGATGAATGATTAACCTACTACAATAAAACTTATTACCTTTTCAATATATATGTATATATATCCCTACTTAAACTGATCAATCAGATATTTTAAAATGAAGCACTGAAATTGATGAAATGTTTCCATGTCATCTAAATAGATATTTTATTGAACTAAAATTTGGACAAAAACAAACTGTATTGTTTTATAGATTAGAAAATCAGCATTAAAAATTTCCACTCTGATTAGGTATATTGTAATCCTTCAACTTTATGTTTATTTGTTTGCCAATTACTCGTTATATAGTAAAACAAATAAGTGACTGATTGGTTTATACATTGAAGAATTTTATTCATTGGTGAAATCGATCAATTTCCAACTAGTGGATAACGGTTTCGAGTTCTGTTCTTCTTGTTTTTGGTTTCCAATAGCGTAAAGTTATGTATTAGCACCGGCTGTAACATAAAAAACATTAAGGTATAAAACTGGGTGCATCATTATGTACTTTATGAATTAGTTACGATGAGCTACATTATTCCCTATTTTATATAGGAATAAATATTTTCAATTTGTTATTTGATAATCTAATAAGTTAGTGATTTTTCTTTTCAGTACTTAACACAATCAGTCAAACAAATGGATAAATTATCAAGAAACTTCAATTTATACATAGAAAACTATAGTGTGGCTATATATCATACTGTAGTGAACGAGGTCTTAGTGGGGATAGCCAACTGAATGCTTAATGCAAAATTACACAATGAGTTTGTAAAATATGAAAATTCTACATTAAATACATATCTTCCTTCAGTTGTCCTTTACCTACTCCACTGTTTTTTCTAATTCTGTTGTTATTTGATTGTTCTCCAAGTTCCTTTCTGTTCTTTTCAATTCAATCTTCAGTTGATAGGGATTCCATTACCGATTGCTGCTAAATACTATTTATATCTGTCAGCGTAAGCAGCACACACTACAATACCACTG